AAAAAAAAAAAAAAAAAAAAAAAAAAAAAAAAAAAAAAAAAAAGAAAAAAGGAAGAAGGTAAAAAGATTCTTGCCTATCCCCGTCTATCGAACTCGTTGGGCCCTCGTTCGCGATTCATTGCCCTGAGTATCCTTTGTACATCGTATCTATACGAGTTTTTTGACTTGCCGGGGACTTGTCCCGGAGGAACGTGCGTACGCCATCGCGAAATTCGCTACAGACCGACCCTAGAACCTCATCGATCGAGGGGCACGTCTTCCATGTTGGCTACATTACCGAAATGCTGGAAGCCGTTTTTAAAGATGCGTCCTCTGCTAGTGCCAGCCTTCGTTTGATCCAACAGCGTCACGTTGTCTTCGAACTCTTTCACCCATCTGGCCGTCTCGTTCGCCCAATGGAACCTGATAGGCGCCGCGTGGTGATACGGTTTCTTCATGCCCGAGTTCCGGCTCTCCACACCCTCGGTCGAGTGGTAGAACGACTTCTCGTAGAAATCTTGGCCGAGAAACGGCTCGAGCTCCGACACGACTTCCATAAACGTCGGACGATCGCTCGGCCGCCATTTGAAGCACTTCTCCATGATCTTTTGAATGTTCTCCGGACAGTTGCGCGGTATATTCAGGGTCCCTTTGTGCAATACGTGGCTGAGCACTTCCTCGTTGGAGAAACCTTGATAGGGAATCTCCGCGAGGGTTAGAATTTCATAGAGTACCACACCGAACGACCAGACGTCCGAGTCCGACGTGAACACACCGTCCGACAGGTTCTCCGGCGCCATCCATCTGATCGGCAAAAGGCCTTTCCTGCCGATTTTGTAGTAGTCCGTCTCATAGACGTCCCTGGCCATTCCGAAATCCCCGATCTTGCACACCAAGTCCTTGGACACCATGCAGTTCCGCGCGGCCAAGTCTCGATGAACGTACTTCTTCGACTCCAAGTAGGCCATGCCATCGGCTATCTCGGCCGCCATCCTCATGATCCTGCAGGCATCCGGCACCAGATGGGTGTCGCGAATTCGCCGCAAATAGGTCTTCAAATCTCCGTTCTCCATGAGCTCCATGACGACGAACGGTGGGTTCTCGATGGACACCACGCCGATCAATTTGATTATGTGAAAAGTCGAGAAGTTCTTCATTACCGAGGCTTCGTTCAGGAATTCGTTCTTCTCCCTGGGACTGGCCGTCTTCGAGATAGTCTTGATGGCCACCGGTGTGTTCTTGTCGTACACTCCTCTGTACACCATCCCGAAATTGCCCAAACCAAGCTCCTCCAAGATCTCCACGCTTTCTCGAGGCACCTCCCACTCGTCGATCACGTACTTGGTTTCTATATAATCAGGGTTCACGCTGGCGATCAGTCTCTCCTGCTTCTTCTTCTTCTGATGGTACTTCAATAGGAAGAACAGAACGATCAGTATCACAAACAGAACAATGAGCGTCGTGATCAGCGCTAGTAACGTGATCGGTGTGGTGTCGCTCAGGCCTATGGAGAAATACACGACATTCGAGAAACTGCCATCGCCAGCCAGCGACGTGGACCTCACTCGTAGACTGTACTTTCCAGGACTCAGGTTCTTGATGAAGTAACTGTTCACCGTCGACAACGTGTTTTTCCGACCGGTTCGCGGGATACACTCGGTGCTCTTCTTCGCGTCTTTCACGTCCAGGTTGGTGTACTCGATCGTGTACGAGACAGTGATGGCGTTAGGGTCCTTCACCGAATCCCAAGAAACCTCGACGATAGTGTTGTTGGTCACCTGAACCTTCACGTTTTTCACGTCATCCGCGCGATCCCGCTTCTTCGTCCTTGTGTACGTGTACTGAATCGACGAGCACATGTTCGACTTGTTGATCTTGACGCCGCACGCCGCTATGCTGATAATGTAGCGCGTGTAGTGTCGAAGATTCTTGATCACGAACTTGTTCCGATCGCTCACGTTGTACGTGAGCGCGTGCTTGTCCATCACGTTTGGCCGTTCGGATTTGAACGTGTCGGTCTCCTCCTCTTCCTCTTCCTCCTCCGGTCGAGGCGTGGACAGATTGTTCGTCAGTTCGTAGAACTGATCGTCCACGTTGTTGTACGTATTGTACACGCAGTAGTCCTTCCAACCGGGTGATATGTAGCTGATAGTCGTGTTCTCGTGGCAAAAGATCTCGAACTTCTTCGACGTGATAATATTCCCGTTCGTGTTCTTCGAGCAACACGAAAGCCGATTCGCCACTGGCGTCTTCACGGTTACGTCAGGCACCAGTTGGTCGGACTCCAACTCGTTCTCCAGCGTATTGTTGCAGTAATCCCTCGTGGAGATTAAGCTATCGTCTTCGTAGATCACGACGCTGGATACCATGTAGTATCCTATTGGTCCATTTGGGAACAACGGTGGTTCCCATTTGACTAGAATCTCGGTGTCGCTCAGGGGCATAGATACTACGTTCATCGGTGGCGACGGAATGGTGCTCCTCGTCCTGAAGAAGATGATCCTCGATTGGCCAACCGGCTCCACGAACTTGCTCGATCTGGCGTTGAGCGTCTTCACGTACACGGCGTACTTGGTGTACGGCTTCAGGCTGCTGATATGCTTCGACACCGTGGCGTTCCATTTAGGAATATCTACGTCAACAATCTGCCAAGTGTTGTTGCCCCCGCAAGCGTTCATCTCGTACGTGATATTCTGGTTTTCCGTCTCGATGTAGTTCAACAGATAATTGAGCAACTTCTGCCCCTCCGGTGGCTCGTAACTGTCCCACATTAAATCCGCGTAATCTGGCCCCAGATTTTTCACCGTGATGTTTATGTTCACTATGTCGCAAGCTACCTTCTCGCCGTTCGATTGTGGCTGTATCTCGAGGTCGGTGTAGTTCGTGATGTTCACCATCTGGCTGAACTGTATGATCTTGGACAGGCAGAGTTTCGGGTTGTAATGGAAGAACAGCCGGCCGTTCTCGATCTTGATCTCATGTCCTGGTGGGAACAGACTCGAGAGGTTGGGATTGTCGAGTACCGACAGACTGGCGTTATTGATGTCCAGTTTCTCACCCTTGATCACCTTCAGCTTCTTGAAGAAGTTCAACGAAGTGATAGGGAACGAGTGAGTGATCTTGACGTATTCGGAGATTTCTTCGACCCGGCCGAACGCCTCGCTCAGCTCGTTCATTATGTTGGGATTTCCGTTTCGTATCTGGAACTCCAGCGCGCCTTTCACCACGGTTATACCACGGAAACTCTGTGCGTCGGAGATGTGACGTATCAAAGCGCCGTGGCTGACCTTCCGGCAGCTGTTCACGCAAGCGCGACACGCGGTCATCTGCAAGTCGAATGAAATATTGTGAATGGAATGTGTTGCTAAAAATAGAGGAATCTTCATTCATAGCTGTTGTTTGTAAAAAAAAAAAAAAAAGGTATCGATATCGAAGTTTTCGAATCGAAGGTTAAAACCGCGTTAATGCCAGGTGAAAATTGTAGTCAAAATCAGATAGTTCAATCACAAGTAGACGAGTGGTGATTTGGTTGACAAGGTGCGTTTGAATAACTTAAAGTTCAGTTACATTGCTCGATGCAAGCAAAATTTAAAAGCCAAAGTTGCATCAACTTCGTTTAAAGAGCATAAAGATAAATTGGCACGATACATTTTTCGTGACAGGAAAAATTAATATTAACTTTAATCGATAGTAGTCTAAGCAAACACTGACTTCACTTAATATTTATACATTTAGATTTTGGCGCGAAAGTGTTTTCTAGATTGATTTTGTTGATGTTGTGTAAATCAGTGCAAGTTGCAATCAAATTAGTATTGATCAAAACTAACAGACGAAATAAATGGAATTATTATCGGCCCGAGTCAATCTAATTCAAACTAGAACTCCACATCTCCGATCTCTCATTCTAATTAACATCAAACGAAATTAATAATAACCTATGTTAATAATAGTCAGTCAAAATTAATATTCTTCTAGATCAACGCAAATCCAAAAAACTGATCTGAAATTTTCTACCAACAAATTTCTACATAAACTATCAAAAATTCTACATAAACAAATTTCTACATAAACTATCTGCAAGTTGTAGTTGCATAAAATAATTAACCACGTAAAAAGAATCACGTATGTGATGTAAACGCTAAAATAATCTCATAAATCATATCCCGAGTCAGACGTTAAAATGTTATTACATCCGTAGTTTGTTAGTATTTCGACCATCTTTAGTCGGTCTGCAATTGCCAATTATTACCACCGTCAATCTCTTCGAGTAGAACGGAGATCCTGTCGTTCTATAATTGCTGATTTAGCATTTTAACACTTGCATGCGTTCTACGATAATGAACGTTCTCCGTCTCCCGCCCTCCCGCCCCGTCGGGTGTTGAATTAAGTATGAAGCAAAGTATTCAATGTGATCGTCTATCTCCTTCCGTTTCTCTCCTCTTTTAATCGCGAATCTTGATGGAACGTCGGTACACGATAATTAACTCTCTATAACCGGAATTTCATTTATTTATGACAGGAAAAAATTACTAATTAATTGAGCCGCTCGTTTGCGTATGTCTTTCGTCCAAAATAAACGCAAGGATGTATCGTTATAATTCGTATTGTAGTACATCGAATATCGTGAAAAATATTAGGCTTGGAATATTTTCAAAAGTCTCATCTTTTATGACATATCACGTGTACAGGCTTCAGTTACGTTAATAAAAGTTTATGAAATTACTGTTTAATTCATTCCTTGGTGTTAAATTGTAAAAATACAATTGTAGAAAAATTAATGGATAGATAAAGACGATGGATAACAATTTTCAAATTCTTTTATTGACAGTGAACAGGCTAAATTTCTATATTCAATCGCGATCTTGTCTTTAATTTTCTTACGATCATCGTGACGACGTTACGATCGTCTGTTTTGAATTTCAAATTGTCATGTTCAGAATTACAAACACTTACGCATACGTTACTTTATCTTTGAAAATGATGCACTGAATGATAATCACGAATAATACAACAATTCGGTGAATTCGATATATTGTTCGTCAGGGGACTTCGAAAAGTCGAATATCATTTGCGACTCTGATGGGATATTTTGTCAAAAATAGCTGTCACGGCAAAATGATAAATCACTTTCTAAACAAAAATGTGTCGAATTGACGCAGGAGCGACGAACGAGTTAACACTAGAACTATCGACGACTGAGGCATAAAATTTCCACCAGAGGCAAAAATAGAAAAGCTTTGCTTTCGTCTATATATTTCACGAGGAATCATTTAAATCTCCAAAAAACGCGCAGCTTCGTACTTTAGTAACAAAGATTACAAATTTTTCAAATCGTTTGGACCATCA